ATATGTATATATATATATATATATATATATATATATATATATATATATATATATATATATATATATATATATATATATATATATATATATATATATATATATATATTGTTGTTGTATGATTTAGTATTAAAAATACTAAACTCTTGATCGTTGTAAGTATATATATATATATATATATATATATATATATATATATATATATATATATATATATATATATATATATATATATATATATATATATATATATATATATATATATATATTTATATATATATATATTTATACTTATATTTATATATATGTAATATTAATTAATAATAAACGTTTATATCCAACACACGTTAAATATCTTGGTATTTTTATAGATTCGAACCTCTCATGGAATTTTCAAATAGATGCACTCCGTAAAAAACTTAATCGAGCTAATGGCATGCTTTCAATAATTCGCCATTATGTTGATAAAACTACCTTTAAGAATCCTCACCTACTTGTGTCAAGTTTGGGGACAAATTGGCAACTGTAATAATAATAAATTGTTATCAGCTCAGCGCCAATCAATCCGAATAATTAATTTTCAACTTCATAATACAGAAACTTCAAAATTCTTCAAAAAACTTAAAATTCCTACCTTGTCAGCACTAGTTAAATTTACTAATCTTCTTTTTGTTTTAGACTCCCTTAATAAAAATTTACCCTCCTCTATTACAACCTACTTCATTGAGACTCGATTTATACATTCACATTTAACTAGAAACATCAATAATCGAAAACTAAATGTACCTCCCTATAAAACTTTGAGGTATGGTAAGTATTCAATTACACATCAATGCATCAGTGAATGGAATTGAAGTCTTGTATGCATTGTGAATGAGTTTGAAAAATTAAAATTTCAAAATTTATCTTCATTTCTTTATTTAAAACAAAATAAATTTAAACAAATTCTAAAAAAAAATTGAATTGGTTCGCAGCTAATATTTTCGTCAGACTTGTTGCTTGGTTTATTTGCTGTTCTCCATTAGAGCTAAGCTTATGTTGTTTTTTAGCTTGCTTTGCTGCTTTTTTGCTCTCAGCATCTTTTAAATTTTCAAGTATTTCAGGTTTGTTGAGATACTACCTTTCGAATCTTGGTACATCTACATTTTTTCTTTTTTTTGTGTCAACATGTTGGATAAAAACATTTGTTGCAAAGCTGCTGCAATTGATTGGGCTGATTGCAGTTGTTTTGCAACCTTTTTTGAATTTCCTTTTGAATAGCCTGAGGTACTATAATATTGAAGGTTGTTTGCAGACAAGGTGACCGCAACAAGAGAGTTACTAGCGTATTTCATTCATTTATTAGAACATTAGAACCATTTTATAAAAGCAGTAATTAAAAGTCATTTAAATCATATTTTATGAACAATAACAATACATTAATGGAAATTGAAAAGTCAAAATTAGAAAAAGACATTGGTGTTTATATATCAAGTGATTTAAAATGGGCCAAACAAGTAAAATATGCAGCTAGTAAAGCAAATAGTATACTCTCACTACTAAATAATACATTCAAGTACAAGGATAAAGATCTAATAAAAACACTGTATTGTACATATGTTAGACCAAATTTAGAGTTTTCAATTCAAGCATGGAGTCCGTATTATACAAAAGATATTAATGAACTAGAAAAAGTCCAACGAAGAGCTACCAAAATGATACCGGAGCTAAGACATCTTGAGTACAAAAAAAGATTGGAAATTTTGGGTTTGACAACTTTGGAGACTAGAAGGCTAAGGGGCGATTTAATCCAGCAATTCAAAATATTTAAAGGTATTGAAATCATTGATATTAAACAAAATCAAACAATGAACTCTATTTGCTCATCAGGTCCTGCAGCTAACATTAGAGGAGCAAAACATCGAATGAAACCTGAATTGGTCAGAAATTGTTTGAAAAGGCAATATTTTTTCAGCAATAGAGTTGTCGATGAATGGAATAGTCTACCAGCCGAAGTTGTTCAATCTACTACAGTTAAAAGCTTCAAATTAAACTTGCAATCGGTCAACTTAGAAGCAATAACAAACAAGATAAAAACCAAGAAAGCTTATTATTAGCGTTTTTTATTATTTAGTGACTGAACTAACTTGTTCATTAATTAATTTATACCGGCTGTCATAGATATTGCCTGGCGCTTTATCTCAACAGCATTAATTAATAATAATAAATTCAGTTAGAAAAATTCATTTATTGAAATTTATACAAAATATTTATAGTTGAAGACTTATTGGTCACTTGAGACCTAATAAAAAAAACCGCTTCTAAGAAATAAGCTATTGCTTCGTATTTATTTATTTATTAGCGAATTTCATTCAACCCCGCAACACTCATTTTTTTTTTTTTTTTTTTTTTTTAATATTTTATTTATTTATTTTTTCGTCATTTGACACATTTTACAATGTTAACCTTACATTCAAATAAATTTATACAAACGCAAGCTGACTGGGGAAGGTAGAAGACAAAATGTCTTATCATCAAGCCCCTTCGTGAAAATAAAAAAAAAAAATTTTTACAATTTCCAATAATATATAAAAGAGTAAAATAAAAAAAAGTTTAAACAACAAATTAAAAATTTTGAAAAAATCAAAAAGTTAAAAAAATAATTTTTACGTTTGACAAAACTAAAAAAGTTTGAAAATAATAAAAAATGAAAAAGTTAGAAAAAATAGTTTACAAATCCGTACATAAGCGTAAACATAACCAATAAACTTCATAATATATATTTAAATATACAAAAGATATTTTGAATTGAAAAAGATTCCGAACATTTTATTGACTTAAGTTCATCTACTCATTTTTTTTTTTTTTAAAACAAAATTAAAACAGACAAACAAAAAGAAACAAGAAGAATATATATAAAAAGGATATATGTATATATATACATATACACACATACATATACATATACACATACACATACACACATATAACTCAGTTTCCGTTTTTAACTCAACTTTTTTTCCTAAACAGCAAATTGAATTTTGAAAAAAGATTCTTAATCAGCGTAAAAAGTTGTATCAGTAAACATTCAATGATACCGAATTTAATTTCCCAGAGTTTTAAGTTCCTTTTTCAAACAAATAAAAAAAATTTTATTACGCATTCAAAAACTTTTAAATTTATACCAAAATTTTTTTATTAAGAATAAAATTTTATACTATCTTACTCAAAAAAACATTCTCTACAATGTAATCAAAAAATATTTGTAAAAAAAATATTCAATAGCTAATTAAGATCGAAAGAATAAACATTGTCATAACTAATTCATTCTACCCACTATTTCATTTTACTCTGTTTTATTCTAATTATTATTAAATTTTTTTTTTTTAAATGTGTTTATTAAATGTTCCCATTAATCCTTATCACAGAGGCCCGCGAAGAGCATTTAGTTATTTAATTAATAGTAATAATACTTTTACATTTTAATTATCAAATAAATTTGAAAAGTATTTTAATAATTCTTTTTATAGAATTTTTTTAGAGTAAGTTGTTACATATTGTTAAAACCTGTACTTGCAAAATATCTAAGAAATTTTATTAAAATAAATCGGTTATGGGTTATTAATAAAAACTGCTTTTTTGCTACGTTTTAACGATTTAGAAGCTTTTTTTATTTGGATATTCGTTATATACAATAACCAGGTTGCATAAAAATATACAATTAGTTATACAACCAATTATTCATTAGTATAATAAATATAAAACTTTAATGAATTCAACTGTAAGAATTATCTTAAATTATTTAAATAATGAAACAGTGTTAATTGCGTTTAGTATAATGATATTTAATGTAACAATATACAAAAATATTTTTATGTAATATAACATGTATAATAATATATAATATAATATACACATAATATAATAAAGCGTATAATATAATAATATATAACGAGTTTGCCGAGTATTTAAAGATATGCATTACTATACGAACAATCTTTCGGGGGAATAATTTAAAAAAATAAAATAAGATAAAAGAGAAATAATTGTTATCGACTTCGACTAAATCGTCTAATCGTCGTCTAGTCAAAAGTTGACTTTGAAAAATCGCATACCCGATTTAATCGACTGCGGGTTTCGATTTAGTCCGTAGTCGACTAAAAATCGATTTGTTGAGAAAAAATCCTAAAATAACTACATCTTTTCATTTGATTTAACTTTTCAACCTTCTATTTTTTTTGTTCATTTAATAATAATAGTACCATTCTAACTGTTGCCTAGTTTTTTGTTTACTTTTAAAAGGGCTACTCTAAGCTGGCTCTGGACCCTAAAGGAGGAGGGGGGAGGGTCGCCCAAACCAGCTTGGATTAAAAGTTGTGAAGCAACCACTAAATGTCATTGATACAATCACATTGTAAATATGATTGCAATTACTTTTTGATATATAGTGTATATATATATATATATATATATATATATATATATATATATATATATATATATATATATATATATATATATATATATATTACAAAAAAACGCGTTACGTTTTATTAAAATAATGCAATATAAATAAGTATTTAGACTTGATTAGTTTTAAATGATTTATTTAATTCAAAACATTTTAAATTGTTTTAAAAGTAAATCTAGTATATCGTAGTCCATGTTTAGTAAATGCCGTTTTAAATCAACCTTAAAATGATCTAAAGTGCAGTTTAAAACGAAGTCTTGTTTTTCATAAAAAATATGAAAAATAATTTTTTCAAATAAAATGTTTCCGATATTGAATTTGGAATGGCAAAGTTGTTCTCTCAAAATTATTTCGATATAACATTAAGCATGTAAACCGACGTGCTAAATTAAATACAGCTGCATATAGGCGTTTTTTACTTTCAAAATATTTATTAAAAATTATTTGTATAAGTGGCTATAGTACATATTGCATCATTTAAATTATGCAAACCTGCGTGATGAATATGCGACGCATTTTTTAGGTTTTTTATTCTTGGTTAGATTTTTTTTTTTGTTAAAGAACGTGTACTTTGCCGTAAGTACATAACTTGTGAACTAGGTAATCCACGTTTTAGGATCTCTTTTAAAACTGGGTACCAGCAGATGTTTTTGAGTGCCGTATGTACAATATATGAAGTGACCTTTTTTTTAACTTAGCCTTCTTAAAATTTCATAGGTAAAAAAAAAATGGCATTAAAATTTCTAAAGGAAACAGCAACACTATTTTTCTTTCTTTTAATTAGCTTTGCAGCTTCAGAAAAAGGTTTGTATTTTTCAAACGTTTGATTTTTAAAAGTTTTTTAACAAATTATTCTTATCTATTAAACAACTTTGAAGAATCAAGTATAAACAGTATGAACTGTAAATGTTAATAAAAGTATGAAGTAAAAAAGTTCACTCAATAGGTCATTGTTTTTTAACATTAAATTTTGATGGCCTTAATACTGATGATTTCTTAAGGAACCACCAATAGTTTGCAATAAAAGCATGATTGTTGTTTTTTTGCTGTCTTTACAAGAAGGATGAGTTCGCAGTTTTTTTAATTGTTTGTATCAGTTTGAAGACTATAGATGATTTTAAATTTTATAACTTTTATTTATTTATTGTAATATTTTAGTTTAACTTTTACATTTATTTACAATTTATTTTTTTAGTATAATAATGTCGCTCAAGAAAAAAAAAAGTCACACACTGTTTTTATAAATGCATTGGATTTTAAAATTCAAAAATATTAAAAAAAAAAAAAATATTTAATAATGGATGTAGATGTGAGATTTTTTTTCATTTTCACCCACCTTCTGTTATTCTTACATGTAATGTTAGTGCAACTGGAACTGTATTAGAAAGTAATATTATGGTTCTGTGCTTTAATGTGATTATTTTAAAAACTGTGACATTTTTTTTACTAACTTTATAATACTTTAATATAATTGTTTTAATTTGGTATGTTTTTAATTTGGAAGCTTTTTTGTGTGTTTTTATCAATTACTATTAGTTTGTTATTTGTTTAGAATGCAGAGATGTATCGCCAATGCTTTGCAATCAAAATATAGATTGTAATGCTTCTGTTTTTAAAGTACGATGCTGTCTCACATGTTCAGGTTTTTTTTACTTTAAAATACTTTCATAAAACAAATAACTTTTCAATTTCTAACTGGTGTATCCTTTTTATATTTTAGGACCTAACCCACCAACAATTGTTCCTCAAACAAAAGTTCCATCAACAGGTATCTTTTTAGTATTTTTAAATTTATACTTAGCATGATGTTAGCTAAGCAGTATCTAATGGTGCGTATGGATATATGTTAGCAGAGCTTTTTTTATGTATATGAAACTATTATCAAAAAAATGTAAAAAAAATTGTTCAGAAGTTTATATTTAAAAAGGAAAATTGATAATTTATTAATCACATAAATTAACATACATACTTTTATATATAATATAAACTACAATAATCCCTGTGAACTATTTGGCTTGAATGGATGAATAGGTAAAAAATAAATTTTATATCAATAATAATAAATCTTAAATAAACAACAACAACAGTTTTGACAGAAATCTTTAAGGAACAAAACCATATAAAAAGAAAAATTAAAGTAGAACTATTTATAGAGACCACGTTTCTTAAATTTAGTAGTAAAATAAGACGAGTTACACAGTTACATTAGTTAGTTACAAGTCGTTAGCTACAAGTTTTTAGTTACGCAGTTACGTTAGTTGCAAGTATTTAGCTACAAGTCATTAGTAAGTAGTGAATACATAGTAAAAATCTAGGCCGAAAATCATAATTTTATCTAAAATATGTAACTATAACGTTTAGAGCAATGCGGTCTCCAACAGATATCAACAAGCAGGATAATTGGCGGAGATGATGCAGTACCTGGATCTTGGCCATGGCAAGTTGTCGTGTATTTTAGAGGTAATCGTGGATGTGGTGGTACAATTGTGTCGCCAAACTATGTTATTACAGCTGCGCATTGTTTACCTAGAGAGGCTGTGGCTGAAAATTTTATTGTCAGGTAAGGTCTTATAGTGTTATTTAAGTATTCTCTTTGTTTCCAAACATTTTTCAGACTTCGTATTTATTTTTAAATTCTATTAGTAAGTTTGAAACCAAACCATTGTTTACATTAGAGTAGGAGAATACGATGTCCGAAAAGTTGAAGGTTTTGAAGTTGATCACAGAGTTGAAAAAATTATCCCACACCCTGCTTACTGGAGATTAACTTTAGACCACGATGTCGGGCTACTAAAACTTAGCAAACCTATACAGTTCAACAACTGGGTTCAACCAATATGTTTACCTATTATAGATGTTCCAAACGGAACTGAATGTTTTGTGACAGGTATAAAAAATAGTAAATAGTTTTTTCTTAGTTCTAATTTAACATAAATTTAAAAATTAAAATATATAATCCTTAAAAAAATGTATTTCTTATAGGCTGGGGTAAAATTGCAGTAACTGGAACACCTCATACAGTACTTCAACAAGCTAAACTACCTGTTATCTCTAACAATGAGTGTCGTATTCTAAATAAAAACATAATACCAATTCCGGTATAGTTAATTAGAGCCGTCTTAAATAGTCAATTTGTCGGCTTCTTATATAATATTTTATTAAATTTACAAATAAATTTAAAAAACTATAAAAACTTAAAGTAGCATAAAATGTCCTAAAATTAAAAAAATTACAAATAAAGACACTGATGATAAGAATTAATAAACAAATATTTCAATTTTTCAGATTTCTGAGACAATGTTGTGCGCAGGACACGGACGCAACCCTAAACCTGACGGAGGAAAAACAAACATGGCATCATGTCACGGAGATTCTGGAAGCGGATTTGTTTGCAGAACTGGTATAAACGGAAGATGGCAACTTCACGGTGTGGTCAGTTGGGGATCACCTAAATGTGATGCATGGGCGGCCTATTCAGTTTTTGCTCGTATATCTAAGCTACGAAGTTGGTTAGAATACGAAATGAAAAACAATTAAATCAATTTTTACGTCAAATAAAAGTTTGATTTTTTGAAAAATAAAGTTGAGTTTTTAAGTTTTGAGTTTCAATCCATTTAATATTTGTTACCTAGTAACGTGTTTTTACTTGTTTATTAAAACTGTTTTATAGTGAATGCTTTTAAAAAAAAAAGTAACACTTAAGGTAACAATTGTATCAGAATTATTTAATATCTGCATAAAATATTCAAATGAACAAATATTGGGTGACAATGAATTAACCTGTAAAGAAACATAGTTGTCAACAAAACCAAAAATAGAAAAAATGGCATAAATTTCCGGTATTACTAGTTCCTAATGAGCCAGCTCTTGGTTCATCAACTCTAAAACCAAATTCTTCAAATATCCTACCATTAATACTTGATTTCTCAATGAACATTTGTATTTTAAAAAATTTTTTTGTAAAAAAAATTCAAAAAATCTAATGCAAACATGTGTAACATATCCTTTCTTAAAGATTTTTTAGATCGCTCATCATGTTAACAAATCGGACAGCATAGTGTCGAAGAAGTAGCCGTGATGTAAACTAAGGTTTTCCCATCATTCATTAAAAGGATAAAACTAAAATTGATAAAAACATACTTATGTCGTGGAAGATTAAATGGATATAAATTAAGAATTTCTTTTTTGGTTTCCTCCTTAATCCTTTATTACTACTTCATTATTTGCTTTTATATATTCTAGCATAATTGGTCTACAGATACTAATACTCTGAGACATTATGTTATTCTATAAAATATTGTTTGAATCTGATTGTACATATAACCAAAGAGGCGATGTTGCTATGACTATTATGTTGCTATGACTATTAGATCAGAATCTTAAAATTTTGATTGGAATTATTAACATTGATTATAAATAGAGTGACTTGATGTTCCGCTACTAATTAGTATTTATTAATCAAAATTTCATCTAAATATTTTAAAATTTCTTTTTTATGTAGTTTCACTAGCCTCTTGGATGTGTGATTAACAAGTTTAACTTTGGTCTTTGTTTCAGTAACATCAAATGATGTTTTTAAAGATGAGCACTCGTTTTTCTATTTTGGAAATCGCTTTATAAGCTGAAAATCTGCATGATGCTTCTTTATATGAGCATTTTAATAAAGCTTCTTCAGATGTGATTTTCTCTTACAACGTGGTTAGTGTAAAGCATTGACGATTCGTGTCGATTTCTTTATAACAACAAAAATAATTTGTCAAGTTCATTAAATGCTGTTCTTTGTGCCATTATCGATACTTTTTTGACGGATTCCTGTTTGAATCAAATGATATATTTGCTATCGATCGTTTTTTGGTGCAAGAATTCGATTCAAACTAATTTATTGGTCGACCTAAGAACAACACGAAAACAAATTTGCTTTAGTCTTTCCTGCTTTAAAGCAGTTTTTTTTTTTACTTTTAGTAATGAATGAAAAAAAAAAAATGTTTTTATTCGAAGAAGTTTTTTATTTGTTTAAAAAAACATCAATTTTTTAAAACTATTTAGCGCTCAAGATCGCAGCCACACTTCTCAGGGTAGTTAGTAGACACTATAGACTAAAATATATCAAAATATGGAAAAAGTACAACTTGGAAGAATTTTTTAATCCTTTATCAAAGTTAAAATGAAGTACTTTTGTGATGAATTTACTTTCTATGCTAAAAAATTTTAGTACCAACTTTTTCAAGAAATTTTAATTTAACAGTCTAACAGATTTTTCGCCATGTGATTTTCCACTGTGCGTCGATTCCATACAAAATTTAAGAAAGAATCATTGGTGATTATATAGTATAATAAAGCACTTAATATCACACAAGCTATTAGCAAAATAACAGCATATTTTTCCGAAAGTAAAGAGCTGCACCACTAATTTGCTAGAAACCCTTGACATTTTAACAGTTGATGTTTTGTATATCGACTTTCAGAATGCATTTGACAGAGTATTGCAGATAAAATTATAAACCACGGTTTATTCTTATGGTATCGTTGGTATGCCTCTTAAATAGACTGAATCATTCTTGTCGAATAGGAGATAAAGAGTGGTGATGGGTGAATGAAAAACAGATTGGGTTAATGTATAAAGTAGGCTACACAGGGTCCTTGTGATTGCAATATTAAACAACATTTTTAAGTTCAAAGATGAATATCTCACGAAATTGCCTTATTGCATGTACGGCAGACCGCATTAGGAGTTTGCAATTCAATTTTGGTATCCCTATTACAAAAAAGGATGTCAATGAAATCGAAAAATTAAAAAAATGATCCCAAAGCTACGACATCTAGGATATAATGAAAGATTAAAAATATTAGAAAATATTTAAAGTTCGGAGACTAGGAAGTGACAACAACAAAATAAAATCGCTTGGTATCTATTGATATGAAGAAGATTCAAACAACATAAACTATATTATCGCCTGGAATCTATTGATACGAAGAAGGTTCAAACAAAAATGCAATCAATTAATAGCTTAGGCCTAGTTTGTATTAGATGCTACAAACACATCCGAATTCGTTAAAATTTGTTTAATTAGACAGCACTTTTTTATAAATAGGGTTGTTTACGGATGGAACAATTTACTGGAATAGGTAGATTCTAGATCAGTTAAAAACGTTAAAATCTAACTCTGAAAGGATTGATTTACAAATTATACTAAACAAGAAACTTAATTTGTTAAAAATTCGTTGGTATTGGCTATTATAGAAATAATAATAAAGAATTGAAAATGCGAAAAAACGAAAGAAATATGAAGAGTAAAGAAAAAAAAGAAAGAATTGAAAAACAAAAAGAAAATTGAAAATAATCATAACTTTTTAACTTTTTTAATTTAAATTTTGATTGTTGATAATTTTCCATTTTTATCATCAGTTATCATTATTATTCCTTTTATCTTTATTATTTTTATTGTTATTATTGTTGTTGTTATTTTTTATTGCTATTATTGTTGTTGTTATTATTATTATTTGTACCATGAGTATTATTTGATATTTCCACAAGTAAGCGGCAAGAGGTTCCACTCTTATTTAAATGTTTTGTAAAGAGACTATTATCTATTTTATGCAAAGAATTTGATCTAATTGATTATTTAAAAATAACAAAATAATAAAAATAAAAAATAAATTTAATAATAAACTAATAGTAAAACGGCAAAAAAAGCAAATAAAAACAATAAAGTAAATAAAAACATTTATTACAAATGTTAACATAATGAATTAAACTTCATATCTGAACTACTTCCAAAAATGAGTCAAGCTTAAATTAATACTGTTACTACTCGTGACGTGTTTTAGACTAACAGCATTTCAAAAAACATCATTAACTTTATATTATATAAAAAATATAATCTGTGAGAATGCTGACTTTTTATTTTAATCTAATCAGCTATATAATCAAATCATTTCATTAATGTATTATAGAATACAAAAATCAAACAAGTTATATATAACTATCTTCAAGATAATTTTTATTTACGTGAAATCTGTTTGATAACGAAACCATTTCAGTTGAATCTCTTTTTTTGTTCCTAAAAGACTGATCTTTGTATACATAATTGTTTGGCTGTTGAGATCGTTTTCGTGTAAATGAGTCTTTTCTCAATGTTAAACTTGAATTGCGCTCATTAATACGAGGTGAAGTTTTTTCATCTAATGTTAAAAAAATCTTTCTTGGACTAATTGATGCGCCCCTTCGTCGTTCTAATTTATAACTATCAGCAGAAGAATCACTATAACTCCGGCGACGATCATAGAACTCATAAGAGCTACTTGAGCTATTTGGTAAGTTCTGAATAGATTTTCTCGAGTAAAGTTCATCAGATAAAGAAGTCGTACTATAACTGCGGTTTCGACTACCATGGCTTAACTTTTTTTCAACAGATAATTTGCGATATGTTTTATCGGGGAACTCGTTGTAATCTCTTTCGCCTAACAATTTGACTTTTGCATTACCACGCAGCAACCGCCGTATATCACCAGGTTGTAGTTTTATTTTATTGGTATCACTTGATCCTAAGTATTTCTTTAGCTCGGAACGTCGGACTTTAACGGTTATTGGGTGCTTAAATGAAGAGCGCCTTCTTATACGCCCACTATTATAACGACCTAGCTGATGTACCTCTGGATCATAATAATCAGGTTTTCTAGTTTCTTTGTAATGAACAACCTCATGTTTTGAAGGTACTGACAACATATATCCTGGTGGTTCATCATTATAATCATGGTAATCACGATTCCTGTCTAAATAAAACGAGTTTTTTCTTGCACTATCAATATAACTTTGATCACGATTTAAATAATCTTCATTTAAGTTTCCATTTTTTAAATGACGTTGATAATTATTCACGTTGTCATTGCGATCACCAATATTATGATACATATTTATATGTTTGTATTTGTTTCTTTCATCTTGACCATCAATATCATCTAGATAAATATTTTTATGTTTGTATTTATTTTTCCTATCATTTTGACCATCGATATCATCAAGATATATTTTTTTATGTTTGTATATATTTTTTCTATCATCATGCCAAGACCTAGTTTGCACAAAACTCAATGGTGAAGATGGTGATAATAGTGGCAGAGGTGGTTTAATGAGATTTAAAGTATTATTAGAGGGCGTTGAATGCTCACTAGTTTGAGTAAATTTATCTACAATAGGATTTGACTTTGGTCTTAGCTTTGCCCAATCAGTTTCATCTGGTGGCTGAACTTTAATACGATATTCAGATGTATCGCTACTTTTTCTACTAATGGATGGAGATACATTTGAAAATACTGGTATTTTTGTTACTGAATTAAAACTCGACTTTCTGCTCTGAAAACTACCACCACAACAAGCACCCCAACATGTTTTTCCTTCTGCAGATAGAGAAGCAAACTTGCCACCCTTTTTGCAACAAGGATCACAACAAGAACAAAATCTTGAGCAACAACTAGGGCAACATCGTGGAATAAAAAACCACAGTAGCCAGAGCAGCAGTAGTAAAAACACAACAACTATTATAACTATCAACCAAAACCAGGATCGAGGTGGATCAGGGTGTGAGCAAGGAAAACTAAATAGAAGGTTAACAACATTAACTTTGTAACCAGATTTTTCTAAAGACCGGATAAAAACCTCATTTCCTTTTCCATCTTTATAGTATTTCTCTACATATGTAACAAACTCCAAGCTGTCACAATTGGTATAAGTTTTTGAAAAAAATTCAATCATAGTCCCATTGACTGTATTATTGCTTTCTAGAAGATTATATAATACAATATCATCTTTAGAAACACCTGCAGTATCAGCAAGCAATTGTATTAATCCACCAAGATATATGCAATTTGTCATAAAATTTTTATATGAATTTTCTAATAAAATATAAATTCGATAATTAATTATTGAAAAATTCTCAATAAATTTTACTCTAAACTGATCATATGCTACTTTTCCACAGGAATCTTTAGCTGCAACTGAATAAAATTGAGTTGATTCTTTTTTGTAACCAAGTTGTATATAGTCTTCATATCCCAATAACCCACAAATGGAATTGCCATAAAGTTGCATCCAATCAAAATTTCCATTTTTAACAAGATACAATGATAAATTCCCACCATCTTCAGTGCCAATAAATTGACGAATTGGCAAATTGACATTGTATAAGTTTCCAGGAATTATTAAAATTTCTGAAATCTTATTATTTACCTTTGGACCCAGGGTTGCTTTACATTGACCATATAATGTATAAGCTTTGTTATTTACCAGCACACAAGGTCTGAGAGCTTCAGAAAAACTATCATTTTCAATCAACTGTTGAGTACGTTCAATTTCAGAACAATCGCACGAGTTTGTACTTTTTTTACAAAAACTCCAAGTGTAATCAAAAAGTTTGTTTTTATTAATCTGAAAATACATACTATTAATAGAAGAGTTAAAATAACTGCTTATTTTTTCAATTAAACACATTTCTTGCTGTGAATAACTTTTAAATAAATCAAATATATAACCATTAATAGTCAACTGATAATCAAGATTAGGTGTACCATATATGGTAATATCAATTTCTATAATTGCTTGATTGTCATCAATATCTACAACTTTCAAAAAGTATCTATCAGTATATGTATAACCAATGTATTTAGGATAACCATATATTACTTTTGACTGGTTGTCATATTGTATCCATGATGTAACAGGCAGTTGTTCTGTTTCTAAGTTTGCACTATAAAAGGTGGTAAACAAACTTTGCAGCCCATTTTTATTATTATCAAAACATAAACTATTTTCAAATTTAAATTTAAACAACTGACAAATTGGAGCCTGAATATTAATCATGGTAGTGTTACATTTTGGTGATTTCAGATTACAGGTGTTAGAGCTTAGATTTATGACTTTAATAACTTTCTTTAAATTTTCACTCAAAACTCTTGGTTCCAAAAATTTTTTCAAACTAGTGACACTTTGTTCAGTGCACATTTTGCAATCAGCAAATTTGAGCGTTAGTATATTTGCATCAATTTTATAGTATAAAAGTTGGATTTGCTGAAGAGCACCGGTTGAGTTGGAAAGATACTGAACAAATGGTTCATATACCAACTTAATTAAACTAACATCAGTATCATATAACATAGAAACATTATGTGAAGTATCCAATGACTGCAAAATGTTTACATCCATTGACCATTCATAACCGAAGTTTTGCTGGTAGATACTGATAATATTAGCAGTAACATCTACTTGCGCTGAACTATTACAATTGTTATAAACTTTCAATTTAAATCTGTATATCCCTGGAGCTACTATCGGGGTTGGATAAAAGCAAATATATTGATTTGCTAACTGTGCCCAATAAGAACTAGGTACAATAGTGTCATTGCCAAAATAAAAAGTATACAATAAAAACTCTTGATTGCATGCCTCAAAAAACAAAGTACTAAGATCTATACACTGGGGCTGACATGCATATAAAATAACTGTTGGAATTATTTTTTTTAAAACTGGGGGTACTTCTATCATTAATAAAGAGAAGTCATAATTAATTTTGTTTATAGAAAAGTAATTAGCTATATACGCACTAAAGTTTTTATTGGGTTCCCTGTCAACTGTCATGATTTTGGCTTCATTCTGCAATATTATTTTTTGATCTTTTTCACAAAGTCTCTTTGGTACTGTACAGTCTGCATATTTTAAATAATACAAGTAACTGTCAGAATTTATTGATATAACTCGAAAATCAAACATGTTTCTTTTAGAATAACTTACTATCAATTCAAGAAATTTAATCTCAATATCTAACAGTGGAGTCAGAGGAGACATAAAACTCTGAAAAGCAGCAGTAACAGAATAGTAGCTGTCTCTGTCATTTTTAACTTCTACTGTAACATTGATTAAAGTTACAAAATCAGTAAAAAATTGCAGTAAATAGTTCTTCTCTTGCTTCAACTGAACAATGTACTCTGTTGGTAATGCATAAATCTCACCCGATGTAGCATTTAGACGTATCCAAGAATCAAGTGGAAGGTCGCTGCCATCTACTTGAGTTAGTTTGATGATAGTACCAGGTTTGGTGAAATTTGAATTGAGTTTATATTTAAAAAGACCACAAACTGGTATATACAAATTTATAGCAGAACCAATGATAGGTTTGTTTATACAATTATTCATAAGAACATTAATAACATAACCAGGTGGTAGAGTCAAAGAAGAAATAAGTTTATGAACTTTAAAATAATCAGAAGATGTACAATCGTTTGTCATTGAACAGTTAATCCAATAAACTTTATAACGATTAAATGCTAGTTTCTCATATCGTAAAAAATGGATATTAGATCCATTTTTAGGACCAACTTGATTACGAACTGAAGTTAGAACTAAACTTATATAAAAATTGTCTACTTGGTCCATTACAGTTGGCGTTTGAACAGTTGCAATATACTGAAGATAATTTGAATCGAGACTTCCTATAAAAAGAACAACCCATAACAAAATTTAAAATACATTATATGTTCACAATAATATAATAAAATATAATAATTACTAATGTAACTAATGTAACACAACTATACAAGAAAGGAGATAAAAATAATCCAGCAAATTATAGACCAATTTCATTAACCCCAATAACATGCAAAATTTTCAAATCAATCTTAAGTGACAATTTATTAAATTGTAATCAACATGGTTTTTAAAAGAACAAAAGCTGTACCACAAATCTACTTGAAACAAAAGATATTTTATTTGATGCTATTGAGAATGGCTGGTGTGTTGATAGGTTGTATACAGATTTCTCAAATGGATTTGATAATATACCTCATATGCAATTGGTGATGAAGTTAAAATCATATTGTAATGCCGGAATAAAACTAAATTGGATAGTAGACTATTTGCATAAAGCAACAAGTAATTTTAAGGGAATGTTTATCAAAATGGTTAACAGTTGAAAGTGGAGTTCAACAAGGTTCTGTCCTTGGGCCTCTTCTATTTTTAATTTTTATAAATGATTTACTAGTCATAATAAAAAATCATATTAAAATATAAACAGATGATAGTGAAATTATCAATATTATTAAATTAGGTTAAGATACCACATAAATAAATTACAATAAGATATTAAAAATATTATGAAATGGTCTTCATTATGGTTAACAAAACTCAGTTATGAAAAATATAAAATTATGCACATTGGATTTAAAAATCCATGTATAACTTATTCAATGTTCGATCCTGAAACCCATCAGAATAATGTCTTAGCAATATCAAAAGTAGAACAGGAATTAAATAATGATGTAACCTAATTTAAAATTTGGAAGTAGGGTGCTGTTGTACATTAAAAAAAAAAAAAATTAAAAATGCAAGCCGAAGTGTGCAAAGTTATTTGTATAAAAAAAATAAAACGAAAAAAATTTTTTTTTTTAGTTTCAGGTTTAAACTCAAACTTATCCCATAAGCAAGTTTTTTTTTAAAAAAAAAAAAAAAAAACGCAATCATGTAACTATCAAACCTTTAGTCTAATATAAACAAACTCAAACTGTTGCTAACTAAAAAAATAGAAATTAATTTCTAAAATAACAAGTGAAAATGATGACTTGTGAAACATGCAACTTTGAATTTTGAATAAAAGAACAAAACATGGAGTCTGGAGGGAGTTTCATTTTTGTCTTACAACACTATAACATAAAATATTTAAATAACTTCATTTTAAGAAATAATAAAAATCCTAATAAAAAATAATTATTTTTATATATTTATAATATCATAAAAAGATTTGTTTTTTTATATTTAAAACAATTTCATTTATTCATGCATTGTTCTCAAAACCCTCTTTAAATTCATTTAAATTTTAGCACAATAAACTCACATAAATTTCAGTGTTTCATAGAAACATCCAAACATACAATTTTTAATTCCAATCAAAATTTCAAGAAAAGTGCAATGGCAAAGACAGATTTAATTTAAAAGTAAAAACAATTTAATAAAAAGTTATTCAAAAAAATTAAATTTTTTTTTTTTAATAAAAATAAATAAAAAATTTAAAATGCTTATAAAATAGCAAATAATGAAATTAAAAAAAAAAAAAAAAAAAAAATGCAAAGTATAAAACATAAAAGACGATCTTACCAACAACGCTTTTAAATGTTAGTGGCCTGTCATAACTCATTGTATTACCAGATTTTTTATCCAAAAGTATATATTGATAAGTGTAATTCTTTACACTTTTCCAGAAGCTTTCTTTAGGATATGCTTCTAAAACATATTTATTTAGCCACATAAATTCAGTTGAAGGTAAAGGCACTCGATTGGGACCGGTCAAAATAACATTGTAATTGTAAATTGTAGTTGTTTCATTTAATACAAGATCAAATGACCAAAGGTAACACATTTTTAAAGGGATTAAAAACATAGAGAAAGGAGCAACTTTGGAACAATAGTCATAAATTACTTCTGAAGTTATACTTTCTAATTCTAACAAAGGATCAAAAACACCATTAAGTTCTTCTATAATGATCTCATCACCACGCCCAAAGTCTTGTTCACTATCAACAAAGTTTTGCAATAGTCTATTTAAGTCTTGATTTGCACATACATCACAGTGTGAAAACCTTACAACATTTGGCTCCAAACCATATAAAAAAAGTTGAGGCTTTGCAATGTTATGTGATTTAGCAGCCCAGTACTCTAGTTTTTCAAGAATTTGAAAATATACTAAAATATTGGCAGAAATAATTATTGTGTACCTCAAACTTGCAGCGAATGCAGGAAACGGAAGTGGATCTTTTGGCATAAAAACTAATAACTTCAAGCTTGCTTTAAGCCCTTGAGAATCAACTGCTTCCAATAAAAACTCATATTTGGTTTGTGACAAAATTGTTTCATTAAACAGTAAACCTGAAAGAAAATGAAAATAAACAAAAAATAAGGAAAAAAAGTATATATGTAGTATATATATATATATATATATATATATATATATATATATATATATATATATATATATATATATATATATATATATATATATATATATATATATATTGTTTTTTTATTGTTTTTTAAAAATTTTTTAAAAAACTGCAATTATAACGACTAGAAAGTTTTTTTTTATTAGTGATGTTTTTGTTTTTATTTTATTAAAAAACATTTTTAAAACATGCGTAAATGTTGCTACATCGACTATCTTATAGCCTCACTCGCAACGGAGTGCTGCTACATCGACTGACAAATAGCCTGACTCGCAACGGAGTGCTGCTACATCGACTGACAAATAGCTTGACTCGCAACAGAGTGCTGCTACATCGACTGACAAATAGCCTGACTCGCAACAGAGTGCTGCTACAACGACTGACAAATAGCCTGACTCGCAAGGGAGTGCTGCTACATCGACTGAGGGTTTGGTTTGGGCAGGCAGTCTATCATTTAAAAAAAAAAAAATTTAAGTTTTTAAACTTTTTCTGGTCTGGTTTATTAACGCGCTCTTTAAAACTACAGTTTATGCGAAACTCTTTTCAACTACCATGCAAGAGTATATATATATATATATATATATATATATATATATATATATATATATATATATATATATATATATATATATATATATATATATATATATATATATATATATATATATATATATACACACATATGATGATGTCACAATAAAATTCTTAGTTTTCATAAAAATAAATTTAAAAAGTTAATGCTCGTAAAATACTTCAATCCAGTAGTAAAACTCAAAAACTACACATTGGAAAGTGTCAAAAGAAAAATGCTGCATTGCTTGTTGTGTATTGTATAAGTAAATCAATCCTATGCATAATAAAAGTGAAATATTTTCTAAAATGGCATGTAAAAAAAAGCAAAACATACATATATATTTTTTCAGCAAGAGACTTGCTGAAAAAATAGAAGCGCTAAAATTATTGTAAAACTAACATAACGCCCTTAATTATTTATTTTTGAGTCTAGAAAATGATTGGTGAATACAGAGAAGTCAAAAAATAAAATAATTGTGGAAAAATAGCGGGTTAGTAGTTTTTGTTAACTTGGACAACTGGTGGAGTACTGGTGGAGACAAGAGCAAGATTTGTCTCAGCTAAGTTCAAAGGAATACTAAGTTCAGAGGATTATTTCTGCTTCTAATAGGTAGATATACATAATTAAAGAATGTTAATGGACTGACCGAATGGCTGACATATTTTACAATGTATGTAATCACATTATTTAATGATGTAATGTACAATGTAATGCAGTATATACTTAATATTTTTCATTTTTTCTTTCTCAAAAATTTGATCAAAATTTATCAACAGTATCAAATCTTTATCAAAATTATTACAGTATCAGATCTTTATCAACAGGACCTTCAAGAGGAAGGGGCAAAAGGAAAAAATTGACCCAAGTGTCAAGCTTGAAGGGGCGCCTGGCAATCTATTGGGTTTTTGTTATAATAAATAGAAAATATTTTAATGACTGACCATGTGAAATCTGCTTAGTTTTTGTATTTGAAGTTGAAACTTTAGTATTCAAAATAAAATTGCACATGAAAAATAAATTTAAAATCTTAAACTCTATTATTATAATTATAAACTATTTTTTACAAAAAGAATAGAATATATCTGTAGTTGAATTAAATGGAACCGGGGGTATTTTGTAAGCCTATGAATGTTTGGCTAGCTCGTGCTTGATTGCACAGAAGATGATGAGCTGTGGTAATTATAATGGCAGCTGATTAAATTTTGCTTTGAAGCAGTTGACACTGATAGCACTGACAACTTTGTTAGGTAGTGTGTTTCATGGATGAGTAACACAGTTGTTGAAAAAATTTGAAGCAAATGAGACATTTGTGGACAATGTCACGATAAAGGCACTACTTTTTCAAGTAGTATTTGACTATTAAAGCAAAAGAGATAATCATAAGATCATGTTTTAGACAAAAAAAATGCCTTGCCTCTACCAGGACCTGGCCAGTTATCAAGAATTTGAGCTTTTGCATAGAGTTTAAGTTAGACAGAACGCTGACTACAAACACAATAGGAAAAAAACGATTTTTTACCCTCACATCTGATGGAAATGTTGAAATTTTAATTCAATGCATTGGTGAAGTTTGCTGTAGTGAGGTTTTTGATTTATGGTTAGGATTAGTGTCGACGTTGATTAAATAAGTATTTGGTTAAATAAGTTGATTGATAAATAATAAGTTTTATTTTGTTTTATAGTTGATAGTTAAAGGTTAAATAAGTTGGTTAATAATTTGTTGGTTATATGCGGTAGTGGTGTAGTGGTAAGAGGGCTCGCTTTGTAAGCAAGAGGTTCAGGGTTCGACACCCACCACGTCCCTTGAAGTACCGCGCTCAACTTAATTTCTCAGCACAGCGGTCTTGCTTGACAAGGTTCGTGTTTCGGAGTTGAAAAGTTGAGAGAGGGTTGTACCACGATTTACAACAAAAAATAAAAAAAAAACTAAAAAAAAAACTAAATGTAGTGGCCTTGGGGAGGTGAATAATTGAAAAAAAAAAAAAAAAAAATTTACAAAAGGATTTTGAAAATTTTATATATTTTTTATCCTAAACATATTATAGAGGGCTTGCCTCAGAAGCATGACATAGGTGATGACATAGGTGGTACAAAGCCATTTCTGGCTTTGAAGCCATTTATAAGCACCTCATTTCTAACTGATCTCTGGAGAGAATAGTTAGAAATGAGGTACTCTGTGATTATATTGTAAAGACTTCTTGGGACTTCTAAAAAATTTTAAAAATAGATAAATTTCGTTTTAATTGTTATTTTTGTGGTTGCCAAGTTAGGAAAAAAAACCCGAAAGCAAGCAAATATTTTGTTAACAACAAATTGTCCCTTGGGAATTAATGACAAGAAATACACAAGGAGCAGTGACTGTTGCAAACACTCCAACACCAAAACCGTAAGTAAAATACAACTATTTTATGTTCTTTTATCAAATTATTCTATAAAAAAAATTGGCATTTTTTGAGTAAAACTTCCAATCTATATAAGTGCAGAAATATATTATTGAAACCTTTGTTTATAAGCTAATTATAAATTAAGAAACATTTTAGTTGTTTTGAAAAATGGGTCAAAAGAAATCATCTTGTGCTCAAAACCATGTTACAGCTAATAAAAAACAGCAGAAGAAGCAAAAAAAATACAGACTTTTGAGGATATGTGATTTATACAATAAAGGATACAATAATGAATCCAATATGCCAGGTACTTACAAGGAAGCTCAAGCCTTTATAGGGTGAAATTATTTGGAAACTCTGTACATTCCCTTAAGTGCTCACAGTCTGAATTTGGCTGGTGTGCACGCAGCTGAACTAGCCATTAAGATCAAATATTTCTTGGAAATGTCGAATCTTTCTAAGTTTTTTTAAGTAATTTTTAGCGTTAAGAAATTTTTAGTGCTAATTTTAAGTCCTACCTGATGGAAGGTCTTCACTAAAGCAAAAAGATTTTCACTGTATAGACTTTCTATGACAAGTTGGAGCTCTCATGTACAAATGCAATCAAACCACTTGCCAAGAGACCAAGAGAAATGTTGGCAGCTTATATACTTGTCATGGAAAACCTAGATCTGACCACTGAGCAGCTCAGCTATGCAAGAACCTTAAAAAATAGTTATCATCTTTTATATTTGTATTGCTAATTACAATTTGATAGAACTGTTGTTAACAACGTTAGTTACTGTTGTTAACCACATTCTTCTTCTACAATTTGAAGTCATTATCATCAATGACAAACTATGTTTAGTTTGACAGCTGATGAAAGATCTTAAAAACTAGGGATTCTTGGTTGCAAATTTTACAACCTACATTTTACAGCTGTAGCTGATCGTTAGGATTCAAAACTGAACTCACTACTAAAAGAAAACATAAACTGAAGGACTTTTACAATGTGGCATCAAACACAGTGCATTTCCACAACAGCTAAACAAAAGAATTCAAAGTGAAGGTTTTTAATGTTGGTTTAGATAGTCTGATCCAGCAGAATGATTCAAGATTTAAGGCAATCACAGTGTTTGGCAGTATTTTTCATTTATCTAGTTGTATAATGATGATCTTTCTGTTCAAAGTTAAGCTTGCAATCTTGCATGGTTTTATCCAAGAGATTTGAACAAAGAGAAAATCTTTGAACAAGTTCGCTGTTTTAACAAAGCCCGCAAAACAATTTTAAGCACAGAAATCTATTGCAGCTACTCAATCAAAATTTTGAGAAGCTTGAACTTTGAATTTTTCTGTGCATTTGCATCATACTCCAGATTTTTAACACTATTCCTGTGTCAGATGCTGAGGATGAACGATCGTTTAAAAAACTGAAGATTGTAAAAAACTTTTTCTGTTTAACCATAGGCCAGGATCACTGATGATTTCCAGTGCTTAAAAAATTAGCAAAAACAAAAATGAGTGAGTAGTGTGACTCTAAAACATTAAAAAAGAAAAAAAAACTTTTAAGTTAATCTTCCTAAAGATAATCTTTGTCAGCAACAAAAATTTTTTGTGTTAATTCTTCTTAGACCTTCCTATTAAATTTTTAAACTTTGACATGATGTAATCTTACTTTTTTCCAATCAATTTCTGCTTTATAATATTTTGTATAAAAAACTTTTAAGATATTTATTTCAGAATAATAATAATATCTTGCAAAACCTTCAACTAAAAAAACCAGAAGTAATACTTTTTTGTTTTAGATTTGAACTATTAACTTGTACAAAAAATGACTCTAAATACTTTGACTTTAATATGACCTCCAGTAAAATATAAAATATAAACTTAAAAAGTAAGATTATAATAAATGAGATTATAAGTAAAATAGATCACAGTAAAAGCTCTTAAAAATATGTTTATAAAATCATGAGAAAGATTTAGGTAAAA